ACGTACCTCCTCAAGGTTACAGTGGAACAAGGAAAGCCTAAAGCACAGGTGTTCACCAGGTTAAAAAAATTACATGTTCCCTACATCATGTTTGAAGCTTGGCAGGAAATACTGAAAGCCTTTTCATTTGAGACATAACTAGCATTCAAATTCCCTCTTGTTGATGCTCTTTCATCAGCCTGAACATCTGATGTTCTCCCTGTTCTGTGGCAGACTGATCTCACTGTGTCCTGCATCACAGGCTGCAGTCAGTCAGTTTCAAAGATGTTCATCCATGCAACGAGAGCAGAAATCAACATGTTGGCAGTCTTAAAAGTTGCTGCATTTATCTCTACAGAGCAGACACGCTTATTTACTCACCGATGCGGCTTTGATTTATAGCTGAAGGTCCGAGACTCAAACAGTCAGGTAAACCCTTCCACACATGGGCTGGAATTTCATCCAGAGTTTCCACCATCCCACCAGTGATAGCCATGACCTACATACAAAAAAATGGCAGATTTGTTTTGTTATCAAAAAAAAATAAATAAAAAATCCTACAAACGTTTCAAAAATCCTTCATGTTAAAATTCTGTAAACATCTTCACGTTTAGTTTAAGTTTTAACGATGAGGAGATTTCACCTGCTCAGGTTGGTTTCCACAAGGCAGTGGACACCGAGTCCCAGTGCAGCGTTATCACATGGACTGTAGATATGGATTACAAGTAAGTGATTAAAAAGGAGCAGCACAGTAAACTGATGCTATCAAAATGAATTCATTTCAAAGAGGGGAACTGCATGTCAATGAGGGCAACACGCCAGCCTTGTAATGCAAGTTTCCTTTGAAATATTGAGGGTTTTTTTTTGCATAAAACTGAAATATGACAGCAGATAAAAACTAAATAGCAGCTGTATTTTCCTCTCCCTTGTTAGCCTGTGGCACAAACCAGTTTGCCTGTTCAATAAATCCAGCAAATAAGAAGTGTAGCCTATAAATTACTGTTAACTTTCAGGGCTTCAACCAATGCCTAGTTTCATTGTGAATTAATCTGTCAGCTGGAACCAGTGAATATTTGCATAAGTAGCCAGTCAGTTTTCTATCAATCATCTAATCATTTAACAGTCAACATTTTGCATTTATGAAAGTACAGAGTAGAAAATGTTTCCTCCACAGGACTGTGCTTTAGTAACTTGCTTTTGTCTCAGCAGGCAGAAAAGCCAAATGTGAAGTACAATGAGCTGCTGTCTTGTGCTGTCACAGAGCACAGTGAACTCTTAAAGCAAATAGAAACATACTCCAAGTGGTTCAGGAGCAGATATTTTGACCAGAAAGACTTGATGATGCCCTGTTAATAATCTTGTCAAAGACCAGAAACAACAGACCATATTGTCTAGGTTTGTGGTGCTCAGCCTCCTCAACATCCGCTTAAACAAAGGACAAAACGCATTAACTTTTTATTGGCCAGCTCATTTGGGTTAGGCTTTTTCTTTTCTTTTTTTTTTTGTTTTTTTAAATACAATCCGCTGGAGCTGGGGTTGTGGTCAGACATTTTTAAATCCCTTCTAGCTAAAGTTCAAGCAACAAACGGAGCAGGACATTTTGATGTGTGTGTGTGTGTGTAAAGCGGATTTTAAAACGGTTTGCCTCTATTCCTCAAAAAGTTGCCAAAGACAAACAAAACTTACATTCTATAAACCGTACAGCGCCCGAAGGATGCAGTTTATTGTTACCCTTGTTGAAAACCCGTCCGCTCCCATTCTTCCCGATGCTGACCGGAGCAAGGTGCTTGGAGCTTTTTTTTTTTTTCCTTCCTCAATGTTACCTATCGTAGGGTGGTTTGGGGTTTAGGCTACTCATACGCGCACTTACCTGCTTTATTTGACCAGGAACTTGTGATTTTTGTGCTCTACCTGCTTTCAATCTGCTGAAAATGGCGGATGGAGGCTTGAGTCGAAAGCCTCTTCTTTAACTCGGATCGTGGTGTAGTGTGGTTGGGTGAGGCAGCCTGTTAGACCCGGACACACACAGCGATGGGGCAATAATGTTCAAGTCACCCTGCAAGCAAAGGGGCTTTTGTAGACGTCAAGGCTCCCTGGTCTCCTCTGCTGCAGGCAATGACTCAAACCCCGTCCACACTGCAGCCTTACATGAAACCATGCCACTTAAGGACCTTGCTTAGATTCTAATGTGAGCATAATGGGCCTGTAGGCTGGAGCCAAATGTGCATAGATGAACTAAGAAAAGCTCAGTAAAAGTAGGCAGATGTGTTATTTGGTAGCAAAATGTCTCAAACTTTATTATTTTATATAAAAGTGTTTGAATGTGGTGATCTGTTGCTCCTTTACTATGACTGATTTGTTTGTGATGTGTTTTCTTTTTACATCCTTAAACCAACTGAAGAACTGGGACTTCAGGACAATAAGTGACTAATCTGTCTTTTTTTTATTTCAAAATAAAGACGATATTTTTCAGGAGAATGATGTTTGAGACGCAAAGCACAGGTGATTTGTCGTTATAAAAGTAACTTTTATAAAGCAGATGTGGATTTATTTTGAATGGAAAATTACACGATGTCTCAGAACATTTAATAAAAAATGTAGGTTAAGAAATCTGTATAAGTCTAACAGCAGGCTAATGTGAATGTGAGTTGTAGTTAATTTGTGTTTGTTTTTATAATATTGTAATTTTAAAAAATCAAATAGATAGATGAGCAAATCTCTGTTTTAGTTTAATCTATTTTTTCACCAGAGGTTAGCAAAAAGCAATGATCATTGAACATAAGTTGATTTTTCTGTTCTAGATTATAGGAACAAGAGCTCTGAGTGGACAGTATTGATCTATTCTTGATCAAATGGCCTATATCTTGTGGAAAATCAACCTGCTGATGGAAAAAAATAATGTCTCTTTACATTAAATGCCTGATGAAGCAACGTAGTCATCACGCTGATACAAAAATAATATCAAAATCCAAAAGGCAATTGCCCACAATGATCTAATGGTAAAGGGTGCTGTAGCTGCCATTATATTAGAAGTATGATAAAAACAAAAGGTTTATGGAAATCTTTATCTTTTCACATTGTTCATCATAGCCCCACCAGAAAACCAGAAATTATTGTAATGTTATGAAAACAGCTCAAACTAAGCTGATTTGACCTTAGTTCCTTTTCTAGACAAAATAGCTGTTGGCTTCTGCAGTGTTCATGCAGATGTGGCCTCTGTTCTCTGCAGTTTGCAGGTGTTGGGATCTGAATAAGCTCTAGTAACACAGCAACAGGCTCCTGTAACTTACCACATACCGTAGGGATAATGGTCCTCGAAGGGGAAGATGTGAGCATGACTATCAACATTTTCAGGTGGTGCCTGTGACCACTAGAGGCTGCTGTGCAACAATAAACAAGTCGTGCCCTCTTCAAAAGAGTCCTGTGCCAGGTTAGTGAAATAGGACTGAATGGACAAATATATTAAAGTTATGCATTTGTGCATTGCTGTCAGTGAATAGGACTGAATGGACAAATATAGTTATGCATTTGTGCATTGCTGTCAGTCTAACACAGCATTGTTTGATGGGTGATTGCAGGAGCTCTTTCTCATTGCAAAACTTAACACCATCTATGCCCAGTGCATAGGAGGAACCACAAAGTGTGTCTGTCTATTTTACTTGCTTTCTTACACAAAACCTTACAGAAATAATAATCTCTGTTACTGATTGTACAATGAGCTATTACAGGTTCTCAAGTTGTAACTTCATTCAGCAAGTTATTACTCTGCAATTCTGGCATTTAGTAACCACTCAGCCAGCGTTGATATTCAATGCATCTCCTGTTTGGAGTGTCTCAGGTGTTACTTTCAAAAAGTATCCCAGCAATGCTGCTGTGCAAGAGGAATCACCCTGTGGATTGATCCTGTACTCACCTCATCTGCTTCTGTGATGTCAGTGCTCAAACCAGCCCACAGTCAGATGTGCTGATTCCTGTCTACAAACCTTCACCCCAGCTACCGAGGATTACTAAGTTCCTCCACCCTGGTGACCTTACCATGTCCATTAGACTGACAGCTGTCAGCTGTAATTCTGTCTCCAGTGAAGACTGATTCTACTTCTTTTGCAGTGTCTTCTTCCGCAGGTAGTACCAGAGGAGATGGAGTTGCTTTCCCTGCAACAACTGGAATGAGGTTCCCCTGGACTGACTCTTTCTCCTCTGCTGGTGCAAGTTCCTCTTGACCTGGTTCCTCAGCAACAACAGAAGACTGAACAACTTTGTCAGCTGCAACAGAAAAGAAACACTCAGTACCAACTGGTTCTCTGGTGCATCGACACTACAGCCCTTTGAAATATTCTGAGTTACTCAGTAAAGGAAGCCTTATTTATCCTAAATCTGTCTGGCCATCAGAATACATGTGAACTTTACATAATGTATATTAACTGATATGTATAGCCTGATTCTAGAATTTATAAGCAATCTGAAATGTTACACACTTTAGCCTACAGCTAAATACTGTAGGTCCAAATGGCCCATGTCTCAGATTTCTCTCTCTCTCCAAGTGGTAGATGGGAATCTATTAATTCAACCTTTAATGCTATGCAAGTCACATGATATACAAGTAATTTGTAAGCTGCTTTTGTTTGCTTCACCAATCCTATAATATAGCTCTAAAAGGTACAGAGGGTGTATAGGAGTCCGAGTTTAGTTTGAATGTTTAACATGCTAGTATGCCAACAATAACAGGTGTGCCACTGAACAGACCACAAAAGCACTTTCAGAAAGACCAGGGGTGTTTATAGGCATGGGAGACCTAAATAAGAGTTCTCAGTTGCATTGTCATCATCTGCTGCATCGGTTTTGCTTATTGTTTGCATAAGATATTTTCCAGTTTTCTTCGTAGCAAAAAAATTCTACTGTTAATTCTCTTTTAGGGTTCTGGACAACTGCAATATCTGCCGATTGTGTTGGTGAGACTACAGGTTTTCCAAAAAAAAAAAAAAAACTAAAAAGCTCAAGCAGCACATTATTACACAGTGAAGTTACCATATTTTATTTCTTTAAGTGCCATTCATGCATATTGAGGAAGGGGGTGGGGTGGGGTGGGTGGTGGTATCGACAATTCTAATAACACTTCAGTTATTTTACAGCACTAAACGAATACAAAGAGTAGCTGTGTTACCTCATTGGACAACAAAAGGAATAAACCGTGCAATAAACAACAAAGGGCAAATAGGAGAAAAAATACAAGAAATGACAAAGACAAAAATAAAACAAACAAAAAAAAACCCAAAACAAAAACAAAACAAATCAAATATATATTATCAACACTGAAACACTGAATGTAGAATCATAGTACAGGTAAAACGTAGTGTCACACAAAAAGCCAACGCATTTTCATCACATATATACAATACAGATATATACATACTGTCACCCTCTGATTGGACAATAACAAAATACTCTATTCTTTTGCCTCCCCTCTTCCTTGAACAAGACCCAACCCCTGACTTGATACCCCACCCCCAAGAGGAAAAAAGGGATGATTGAAAAGACATATTTGTACAAGCACAACACACCAGCACTGAATAAAATAGGCCCCAATCAGCAGTACTTGTTGGCAGTTTTCTCCCATATTGTAACAATGCTTTTTTTTTTTCTATTCATCTTTATTCCCAGTAATAATAATCTCTCTGGCAGGTACATATTCAGCGATATTTAAAAACTTAAAAACGTCTTCTGAAATACTTAACTGAGCAAACACACAAACTGACACACACACACGCGCGCACACACACACACACACACACAAATAGACATAACGTAAAAAACTGTGTGTGATCCAGTCATAGTCTTCTCCTTTTTCCCCGTTAGCCACATCCGTTTGCTCAAATCTTTTGTTTTCCCGTGGACTGATGTGCTCAAAAGGTAGCTTGTGTGTTCACAGTCTTCACCTGGAACAGCTGCAACACACTTCACCCTCACACCAATCACAGACTCACAAGGATGCTCACTATTTCAGGTCCACTGAATCCAATGAATACACACTGATGCTCTTTTTTTCCACTGCTGTCTTCAGTTGCAGTCCTTTGGCCCACACTCACCTAAAACAGTCATGATTTAGGTCACTCACCTGATCAAGTATCATGTCTGAGCACTAGTTATGAAACTCTGGCAGTTGAACAAAACTTTAAAAGTTCACCGTTGAGACCCAGAGGTGAGGCAATCTTCCACATACAGGGGACATTTGATGTACAAAAACAGACAAAAAGAAGCAAGAAGGAAGCAGGAGTGGACATGTGTGATTGGCAGGCAAAACAAAACAAAAGCATTAGGTGAAATATGAAAACGTATGGTCGCATTATCAGCTGAAAGAAAATAACCTCATCCAATCAGTTCAACAGAAGCATCTTAAAGAACCAGCATAAAACAGGGCTGGTTCTGGTTTCAAATAACCTAAATAATCTGTGTTCAAATGGATTGTGTGAGAACTAAAGGTGCCTTTTCTCATAATAACAAAGACATGACGCGATATGATTGTCATCTAAATATGAAATCAATACTGGAGTCCCTAGGAGCTAAGCTGTCTTAAGGGAACAGTCTATATTTTGGGAAATAAGCTTTTCATTTGTACTGAGAGCTAGATGAGAATAACAATACCACCTTATGTTTATACAGTAAACACAAAGCTATAGCCAGGAGACTGCTAGCTTAGCATCGAGACTGAAATCTGGAAAATAGCCTGGCTCTGTCTAAATATATAAACATCTGGATCTAAAGCTCATTAATTACAATGTTCTATCCGCAGGAAGTGACTGTGCCAAGAAATAGTACAGCACATAGCCACCAGTGAAACCATAAAATGTCATTTTACACTTAAAGCTACAGTATACAACTTTTTTTTTTTTTTTTTTTCTGTGACCAAGACTCATTGCACAGCAGTGCAGAGATATTAGCTTCTACATTAGCTTCTACAGGTTTTGAGCAGCACTGACCTCTCTAACCCAACCTGCAACCAAGGCTGAGAAATGAGGCCGATGCAGTTCCTTGAATGACCACTTCATGCTGGCTCCGAAAGGGAGTCGATCCCCATAGACTCCCATGTTAAAATGCCCAACTTTAGAACAGAAATAAACATGTTTACAGCCTGGTACAAAAACCGGCTTTGGTCTCTTACTGGTACAACACACTGGAAGCGAGATGTAAGTGCTACTGAAGCATGATTCCATTCAATCCACACTGAAACCAAGACATGAGCAGACAAAGTCTATTCAAGACAGACCAACAACAAGTGTACTAGACAAAAACAGTTTTCATGTAAAATCATCAAAAAACAAATAGCATTTTTACTGTAGCCTATCAGTTTATTGATTTTAGTGATTTTCCTCGGCGCCTTACGGAGGGAGAAAGTGAAACTCAAGCAGCCTGTTGAGTTGTAACAGATACCAGAAAAAAGATAAAACAACAGGATTTGTGTGATTTAAACAGCTGACTGTGGCGATTACACTTCACTAAATGCAGCAGAAGGAAAAAAATAAACATGAAGCATAAAAAATGTGAAGGTCTCGGGTTCAGTGTGCATTGACTAATTTGATATAGCGGAATTCTAACTGCAGCATGAGATGGGTGTGAGATGCGAACAGAAAACACTTCCAAAAACACTTCCAGTGTGTTTTAGTAGTTTTAGCTAATTTACCCTTCCATGACAACTGTACAGAGGGTGAATTTCTATACAACTCACCAGTCTAAATTATATTGAGACAAAGATAAGGGTGTGGCCACTTTGAGTGACAAGCAGGAGAATCCCCCTGTTGGTGGCTAGCTTCATTCTGTCCATTCAGCCCACCTCAGCTCCACTCATGCTCCACCTCTTTGACCTTTTTTGGATTAGCCGTAGCAGGTGGAGTGAAGCACTCGTTAAGGCAGCAACCAGACTTGAGCTTTCAAAACCACTCTTCAGAAAATCAGTGGGTGAAGTGATGGTGGGTTTGTTCACGTTTTATATAGTCAATGCTCTGACCAATCAAAGATTTTCAATTATTTCTGCTTGATCAGCAAGTTTTGTTGCATTCTCATTTTTTGTATTTTTATAATGACAAATATCTGAAGAGCTGGGCAGAGCATGGTGGGGCACAGCAGGTCGCAGTAGATCATAGTGGAGCGGAGAGAAGGAGCGCTGGGTGGAGCAGAGTGGATTAATTTGGAGCTTCAGGCTAGTGCTACCTTAAATTACATACAGTAGCTTTATGTTTTTGTACAGATGAACAAATCAGACACATTGTGTTAATTAATGAGCTAGAAGTGCTTGTAGGCAGATTTTGTTCCCTTTTGACAGAGCCAGGCTGTGTTTCCCCACCTATTTCCAGCCTTAATGCTAAGCTAAGCTACCCAGATGCAGGCTGTAGATTCATATTCGCTGTACTGACATGAGTGGACTCAATCTTTACATCTAACTAAAGTATTTCCCAAAATGTTGAACTATTTCTTTAACCAAAGACAGCATCATAGATGCAAAGCACCATATACAGTATTGCAGGGATGAGAAATGATCCTTTTCATTGTCACTAGGAGTCAGGCAGTCTATGACTGAATCAATGAATAAAATGGATGGGTGAGAATGTCCGTGCTTAGCTTTTCAGATCCAGGAGGTTCTTTGCATGTTAAAAACAATAACGATCAACAAAAAAGTAAAAGTGCGCAAAGGGATTTTTTTTAAACATAGTGTCTCTAAAGCTCAGCACCGGTCTGATTGATGAGCCACTTGTTACAGGACACAGAGGACAGGTTTCCAGAACCACTGATCTCCCTGTTCTGTGCTTGAGAAATCCTTTCAGAAAAAGTTGAATCTAAAATCTAATTTCTAGTCACTGTGTGCATCTGCTTTGTGCTCATAGATAGCATAGAGATGATTCCATCAGTCATAGCCCTAACATTACAATTAAACCAAAACACACACACACACACACACACACACACACACAAACATGCGCACTGTATGTACTGTAAAATGAGTCACATTTCTCACTGTTATTGTATAATAGAAAACTCTTATGCTTTTTCATGATCACCAATGAACACTGGGCATATCTCCATAATTTAAGTGTCAGAAATGACAACAAACACAGAGCGTAGCATCAAAAACTCATTTGATGTACAGTAGGTGGAAAAAGGGGTAGACGTGGATGCAACTCATTTCACAAATTAAAGAAACTCACCATAAAATTCATGATTTTTTTCCCCGTCTTTAAAGGAAAAGTTCAACATCTTATGCATGGCCTATTGATCATTAATCAGTCAATAAAGCTTTTATACTCGTCTATGATTCAAGTCAGTGAGACTTAAAACCATTACTATGTGAACTGCAAACAAGCTCTTTAAAATTTTAAATACTTTTTAATATTACTAGTAGAAATTATTATAATATGGTGTGCATACAATTTGATGTGTAATTGTTTAAAGAACTTCTGCATTTTGGGAAACATGCCCATAAACAAATTCAATTTCTGTTTCAATACTGATACACTGATTAAAAAGATCACCTTTCCAATTCATTAGTCAGACTAATTATTTAATGTTTACTGATCAATGGGCTACTCATGTAAAACTGATGAACTTTACCATTAAGATTTACTCTTTAACATTACATCAGCTTCTGACTGGTGTAGCAAATACCAGGTATTTGGGTTGATTGAATTTTAACAAGGCCAAAAATATCCGACTTCCTGCTTCTCTCCATCGCCATCACACTCATCGTATCCACTCATCTTGAAGTGTCTGACACAGAGAGAAAGGTTGTACTCCCATAACTAGTCTGCTACAGTGAGCCTGATCACATTGGCTGGCTATGAAAATAGATCAGGATACTTTCAGTGATCTCTTTTTCTGTCTCTCTCTCTCTTGCTTTGTTTAATAGAGCTTAAGATTTTTCACACCCTGTTCAAAACCTCGTTACTGTAAACCTAAATTCACGACCAATTCAGCCACAGCGGGGTCCGCGTGTTCCCGAAAGTGACCGACAAGCACCATCACATCAATCAGAGACGGCCTGTTTCTTGAAAACCAACATAAAACAAAATAATTGTTTAAAAAGAAAGAAACTCATCCAAGAGGCAGCTGAGGCCAATGTCAACACGACAAGAACTACAAGCTGAACACGTCGCTCAAATCACATAACAGTTACGGAGCAGAGGGTCAGGGGGGATAGAGGTTCAGACTTTGGAAGGCTGCTGGCTAAGGACGGGGAGAGGGCTGACTGAGGAGTTTAGGAGCACGTGGTTTACATGTGAATGTGTTCTACTTGTCTCTAGACAAGTACGTAAGCAATCACTTTAACATGTCCAGCTAAATATGATTGTCTTCAAAGTAACATTTTCTAGGTATGCTTTGCTTCTGTAAAAATGCCAGGACACTGAAGTCTGTCTTTCTCCAAAGCTTGTTAAATGTTCTTCTGCATCCCACCCACAGTGGCCTCTGCCTCCTCCTGCAGCCTTTCAGCTCAGCCTGGCTTCCTCTGGCTTCCACCTCCTCTCCTCGCTCCCATATGTCTGCAAAAAGGAGTTTTAGGGGCTAGACAATGGAGTCCCAGTCAAAGTCATCCTGGATGTCGTCAGCTGGCATGCGATGCATCTGGAAGTTTCTGGTAGGTATCATGTGCTGCTGGTTCATCTGTGCATGGTGTCCTGGAGACAACAAAGAGGAAAGGAGGAGTCAGATCCACCAGGATGTTTCCTTTTCTGAGGAAAGTCAAAACACTGAGTTTGGTGGGGCTGTGCACGAAAGACGGTCCCGATATATGTAACTTATGTCACCTGTCATAGGGGGTCCTGCACTGCTCATGGGAGGCATGTGTGGATACCCTGGAGGACCCATCATGGACATGCTCTGTCTGGAGTCCATGTAAAGATTTCCTGAAGAAGGAATCAGAAGAAAACTTTGTTTAAAACCGCAAATTAACCAGAATGTGTACACATGCATTTCAGGTAATGTACAAGAATAAAATCTGTTTTAGTGGAGGTCTGGCAGTGGAGGATTGCAGCACTGATGTACAACAGGACTAAAGGATCCCTAAATTCTTTTAAATTTACTTCAAATCCACAGCTGAAAAGTCAGTCTCATAATATACTTGGCCGGCTGCACAAAACGGTGCTGGAATAAACACTGTTGCTTTCTCAGAACACTGATACAATTTAAGACCTTTAAATTTGGGTACTTATTGTGTGTATTATCACAAAAAACTAATGGGGTAGAACGTAGTGAGCTACACTGGGTTAAGGATGCTATAAAGCAAATTAAGAAAAAAGGCTAATAATTTAGAAAAGGGGTTAGAGAGTGTGGAGCTTATTGGAGAACACTGCTTTATATAGGTAGGAATGTTTAATGAGTTTTTGTCCTTAATAATAATTATAAATAGCTGCTCCTTTTCTTTTTGTTATACCCCCTTATTAAATATTATTTAAATATAAGTCATTTGATTTTTTTTTATATTGTTCTTGATGTATTGGTCTTGAATATAAAATTACAATTGACAGACTGGAGTAATATTAGGGAATGAAGGTTTAAGACTCGTTATATTTTGTGTTATTACTGTTCAATAAAAGATGTACGTATATCTATATAGAGATAGATATAAATTCTTTCTTTTCCATCAGGGGTAAGGGTATAGCTCTCGTCTCTCAGAAATCAATCTTAGTGGATCTGGCACAGACATGATCCTTATTTCAAAACCAGAACTTCCCACGTCTACACAAACACTACAGTGAATCCGAGTAAGGGTTGCAGGATTTATGGGTGGCTGATGAACCTGTGTTGAGGTGCTGGCTGGGTTTGTTGGGGTGCATGGAGCCATGGCAAACAGAAGGCTGCACTGCCCCCTGTTGCTGGATTACACCGGTGCGAGCAAAGAACTGGTTGATGGACGAGCAGAGGTCTGCAATCTGGGTGGGCTCCAGGGACCAATTGTTCAGCTCCGCTTGTCGCATACTCTCTCTTAACCCTTAGGAATACAAAACACACACATTTAAATGTACAACCTAAGTTATTATCAAAGCGCAGAGAGCATCTGCCTGCACTAAAATGCCTTTGTGCATATGAAATGTATCAAACTGCACCAGTCAACAGTCCAAAGAATATACATTTAGCAAATGAGAACCTAATTTACAAAGATGAAGCAAAAACCTTGGTTGCAACATATATTCATTATGTCAGTAACCTTCAGTGGATGATATTTAAAAAACACCCTACCTTGCAGTCCTAGACTGTAATTGGATAAACTGACCTGCTGAGCTTGGTGTTTTGGTAATTAAACTTGAAGGCAGTGTTATTTAACTGAAGAGCTTCGTTTAATTAAACTCCTAATCAACAGTGTCAACACTTCAGCACTCAATCAAAAGCTACTGCAGAACTGGAATAAAAGCTCCTTTGTTTCTTCTTATCACAAAACTGTATTCTTAAATATCATTATGCAAAATATATTAATTAAATATATTCCTTTATTGGTCGTTTAATGTCTGTACAGCAGCAAGATCTCTTTACAGTGTCTAAATCGCACCTTGAAAAGGTGAAAGGTCGACATCAGCCCAGTTATAGCTGCTAGCAATACGACAGCTTTCTTTCAGTGCATCCAGATTTGGGTACCAGTCAGACAGTAAACCTGTAACACACACACACACACACACACACACACAGCATACTATCTGTAGTATTACAAAACAGAAGATGTGAAGTTTAAATAATTGGTTCCAACACCAAGTTCACTACTGGGACAAATACAGGTTTAGTCCTACTTATATAATTTATGGACAACTGCACAATAACTGCTGCTATAACTGTTATTTAGTAGGGGTTGGGTAATAAGTCTAGATGATGTATTTTCATTCTATTCACATTTTTACATCTGTGCAGACAATCTTGTGGTATCAAACGAATGAGAAGGTAGCACAAAATAAAACAGTTTATCAGGCTTTTAAACAGCTCAGTACTGCACTGTGGCCACTAGGAGGAGCCAGTTGACTCTATAAAGGCTACTAAAGTCACTGGATGCAGCCTTGCTTTGTTCTCACAACAGCACAAATAATACATAAGATAATATTCTGTTTAGTAACTAAAATGATTTGTCAGAGCTTTAGCACTAAAAACTGAGGACTGATACAAAAATCAAAGTCAGTTGTAAACATGTCTGAAGCTGCATGTCTGTGTGATTACCAGGATGAAGAAAAAACAACACAGCAATACTGGCTCAAAGGAAGACAATGACAGACAGAGGGTCTTACCTGTGTTGCAGGCCATCTGTTGCTGGGTAGGATGGGGCTGGTGGGAGAGGCTCTGATGCTGCTGCCCGTGTTGAGAAGGGTGCTGGCTGTGCTGCGTGTGTTGGGAGGGGTGTGGTGTGTGCTGCTGTGGGTGCTGGCCGTGGGACGGGTGCTGCCCGTGCTGTGAGTGCGCAGCATGCTGGGGGTGCTGTTGGTGCTGACTGTGTTGGCTGTGCTGGGCATGTTGGCTGTGCTGGTTGTGTTGGTTGTGGGAACCCCCGTGCTGCGGGAGGTGCTGCGCGTGGGGTGAGCCATGGCTGGGGTGGGCCTGGGCAGGATGGGACAAGGGCACTTGACCACTGTTGGCAGAGTGGCTGTTGGGGTGGCTGTTGGGTTGGTTGTTTGACAGGCTGTTCTGAGTACTAATGGTGCCACTTGGGGAGTGCTGATAGGAGCAGGAGGTGTGGGTCTGCTGAGAAGAATCTGATGGTATGCCCATGAGACCTGGGAAACAAAACACACCAACACAAAGCTGTAAGACTGTTGCAACAGTCAATGACAGATTTGTTGACTGACAGAGAAATTTTAATAACTGATTAATCTGGGGCTGCAACTAACAGTTCATTTCATAATGGATTTATCTACTAATTATTTTCCTCGAGTCCAAGGTGACATATTTAAAATGTAGTTTTGTCTAACCAATGTCCAAAACTCCCAAAATTTACACTGATGATGGAACAACAGAAGCTGGAACAAACAAATGGCATCGCACTTTCACTTGAAAATGGTGTAAACAATTAATCAATCATGATAACAGTTCATTTTCTGTTGATCATTTAGAAATTAATGTTAATTAAAGATAATATAATAATAATGTAAAACATTTTAGTGAGTAAAATGCCAACACTTGCTTGTTCCAGCTTCTCAATCGTGAATTGTGATTTTCTCTTTTTCTTTTCACTGTAAATTGAATATAATATTGGTTTTTACACACACACAAAATAATTTGTAGGCATCACACTGGACTCTGAATCACAAAATCTAAAAATAATTCACAAATTATTAGCCATAGCTGTTGAAATGTGACTAATTTTGACTATAATGCACTTCAATACAAATACAAAGAGTCAAGTCTTCACATGTAAACTCAGCTACTTCAGGTTATCCATCTCAACATCTTACAATAACAGGATGTGGGCCTTCCATGTTTAAATGGTTCTATACCCGAGACAGACCAGCTACCATTTTATTGTATCAGGGAATGACTCGGCATTAGCCGTGTCTGAGGTTCATGAGCCCGAGCTGCTGCCACCTCTCCTCTCAACTGCACAGCTCTGGATTGTCTTTGACAAATTCATTGTGCTGCGGTACAGCTTTTTAAACAGACATGACTGGAGCATGCACATCTGCACACCCAACTGCAATCATCTGAGTGGCAGGGAGTGGTCTTAAGAGGCCCCGTCCTTCACAGCTTTGGCACAGTAAACCTATTTCACTGGAGTGCTTTTAGAGCTGACTCTAGCCCTGTACCTCCACAATCGGCACGTAACACTCACTGCAGGGGTGACAAAGGTGCATCTCCTATCAGCGCAGAAAGCCCATTGTCCAACCAGGGAAATACAGAAAGCAATTAACGTGGCACCAGAATAATAATGCGAGCTTATTACCTATTATCAAAGCCAGTGAATTAGCTCACTGTCTACAGCGGCAGAGTGTGAAATCCTCTAGCTCGATTATTTATGCTCTTAATTGCTAGAGCTTGTCTGAGTAAGAGATTTCACTTTTATGCACATAAAAAAGGTAACAACTTCCAAGTAATGAAACAGATGATAGAAAGGAACTCTTTGAAAACATTAGCTTGAAATGAATTTAATATGTGAAAGTAGGTTATACACAGAAAGTGCCGTCTTTTTTCTGCTCATACCTCACGTCAGGTGCTCTTTGTTTATCAAGTCAATCGGATTACAAGGAAAAATGATTTATTTTTTTTTTACAGGGACTCTCAGGCTTTTTAGAAAGCTGTGCTATTGTACATACATGCATTATATCACGCAAACTGCCCATCTTTTTGACAACTGAAGCTCAAATATAACAGATTTATTGAGGACCCATACAGCCTGTAACCTCTTCCACTCCTGTGATTGATAAACAACCTACATGAGATAATGCATGCTGCAGAAAACTTGCAAGTTGTTTGAAAAACCTAAAACAAGAAGGGTGGTGTGTTCATTCTGAACATAAAATAAATGCAGTAACATTATCTTTACATCCCTTAATGAAATATTTGAGTCATAAACTCAAGTTTGATTATGACACGAATCCTTTTCCATGTTGCTCTGGCAAAAGACTAAGAAAATGCTCAGTATATATTTGTACTATAGGCTAGTCAGCCTGTTGAATACGTGCTCACTTCTCAGTAAAGCTAATTAGTGGCTAAATACTTCTTATAGCCCCAGCAGTGAAGAACAAACTCGCATTAGGAAAATCGTTCTGAGAATCATCTTGTTCCTTGATAAGTGAAGCTTAAGCTCCCCATTAGGTTTCCACTTGATGCTCCCGTGAGGCCACTCACCTTGTTGGCTGAAGGACTGCTCAAAAACAGACTTGTAAAGGCTGCGGAAGGAGGCACTGAGATCTTCAAATTCAGAGAACAGGAGTTGCTTGTCCCTGTCTGGCATGTTGTACTGTGACTGTGGGGGCTGCTGGAGGCTCATTGACTGGGACACGGGCTCTGGGTGACTGGCCACCTGGGGAGATAAAAAAAAAAGAAAAGTTTACAAAATGGGAGCAAAACATAAACATAATATTTAATTTGTAAAGGATTATATGGAAGAACCACTGGCTACAGTTCTGCTACATCTGCCCCACAGACTAGAGGGGACAACTGCTGCTAAGAGGAGCCCACTGTGATGTTTAATCATACATATACTTTTCAAAAGACACCTGCCAAAACAGAAAACCTCTCGAATATTTAATACAAAGTGGAGGTTGATGTGAACATATGTTAAACACACAAAAGTCAAATGAGGACAGTTCGATTCTTCTGAGGGGCCACTGTAATGTTTGGTTTGTCAGAAGAGGTTTCAACCACACAACATTTAAAGAGCAATTACACAAACCACAACAATTCAGGTCAGTGCTTACTGCCTTAGCTGACAACATTAAGAGAGGAACTTGAATGGACACAAAGCCAATACTCATGTGGCCAAGCAAAATGTATTTAAAACAAAATCAATAACAATACCTTGTACAAATAAGCAGCCATTTTATCCATGTATTTGTGTGGGCAGTTAGTGTAATGCACTGCCCCTGGGTGTGAGACAGAAAGCAGCGTTCCCTCCAGCAAAGACTTTTGTCTAGGAGATTCATCACAGCAAGGGCAGCGATGCAAAACCATAGCTATTTCACAAAGCAGGACCTGACCTGTGTACCCTGTGGACTAGCAATACAAGAGAGGTCATGTCCAATTTTTGATAATAACATCTTCCTCTTCCAAGATGTGGGCAGCCTACTGAAGTGCATGCTCACACTCTGGCTTGGGTAAGAGTGAAGAGGTGATAATAAAGCCAGAGTGTTTACTGCGAGCTGCTGCTTTGGCTGTGAGAGAGCGAGCACATCCATCAGGCTAAGTCGATCGATGCCCAGCGCCTGGAGCAGGGAGCGCTCTCGGATGCAGGAGGACCACACCAAAGAGGGGGCATCTCTGGTGGGAGGACATCAGAGGAAGCGCTTCTCTTTGTCTGGCTTCCAGCAGCGTGCACATTTTTCTCTGTTTCCCTTAACTCCCTTCCTGATGTTGTACTCTAGTGCATGTCCATACTGAACCTCTGTCTATTACCTCTGTTCCTACTGTTTACTGCAGGCTCCTCTGAAGAAAGCCTCCTGGGTCTTTCTGATTAGATGAAATATGGGATACAGTACACTTTCCTAGTCCAATTCTCAGTGTTTCATTTTCATTCATTTAGTGATTGTGGCTCCCCCACAGCTTGAAAAATGCAGATAAAATGATAATTTATAACTTGGCCTTAGTGCTTGTTGTTCAAAAAATATCAGTTACACCACATTTATATAAATATCCTGCTATAAATACCCAAGTGAGACACGGTCATGAGCCGCACCATCTACAATAAATGAAAATACCATCCTACACTCTATTCACACTTTAAGAAATGGTAGGGGCACTGAGTATTTGGCAACCGAGATGCTGCACTGGCATCTTTGTTGTTTTCTTTTTGTACCAGTGCAAAATGCAGATTACTTCAGTTCAGCCTTACCAAGACACTATCCAGGACCCATTTATATTCAGCCTAACTGGGTTAGATGTGGTCCTGTTTTTTTTCTGCAGATCGAAGGGCAATGTGTCTGATACCCTAGCCTGCCCCCGAACCTGAGAGGGCTTGCAATCAGCTCTAGTTACACTGCATGTCATAATCACTGCCTTTAAAACTGTGCCCAAATAATTCTCAGGTTGTTTTGGGACCAGGTCTGTCACAGCATCATCCATGTGAAGAATGGCCCTCAGTCTTACCGGTGTATAGCTGTGCACAGAGGCCAGACTCTGATCAGACAGGCTGTTGTTAAGGCTGCTTCTAGGACTATCGCTCCCTTCCTGGTCTGTGTTGTACAACGCCACCTGAAACACATACATGTACATTAGCTATTTTTCTTATAGACACACATACAAACACACATACACATTACCAATATCATCTCCAGCCTGGGTGATGGTAGATCATGTCATCATTCCGCTAAGATAATGGGTATTATAATTAATGGTCTATACTTGATCAATGTAATTGTAATGGAAAAGCCAGAATGTGTGCGTGTTGCAATGACATGTCAAAACAGTAGAGTACTTTCTTCTGACTTTTTTTGTCAGTGTGTGTGGGGGAGACAGGGCGCTGCTGAACACCCACCACAGCCAAGTGTATAAAGGGTCTGGAGACTGAGCTGAGACATTCCCATCACAAAAGGTCACACTACTGGCGATGTCAGCCACATCTGCTCACCAAGCGCAAATCCATTTGGGACAGCTAACAAAGGATTTCAGTACAGCCGAGACACTGACCTTTCAATACAGCAGCTAAACTAGCTATAGCACTTCAGGACGACAATCTTAATTATCGTCTAACAAGGTTTCACCTTCCCGCCCTTCCCAAATAAAGTGCGCAGTCAGACAATTAAGACAATAGTAAGAAGAACGACCCAGATAACGAATATAATGATACCCACAGAGAATAGCCCGTGTTTTGAGTTTTGTATTGTGAGAAAGGAACGGCCGTAATGCACTGATGGTGTAGCAGTGGAAGAGGGCCTGGTGAGTGTTTGTCCATGGATGAGTCCAGCATGGTGGCTTCTGCTCATCACTGTGAGTGTAACAGAGTGAGCTCTGTGCTCAGCACAATGAGACAGTAGTGGCAGCAGCCTTCAGGCAGGCAGATTGGCCTGGCTCTGCTCAGCACCCTGCCTCTCAGCAGCAGCAGTGGACTGAATCCTCTTGTCTTTCTGTTGAGCCGCATCGAGCTACCACACAGGCCACAAGGAGGCAAGGAAACCCAGGCAGCCCTGACTGCCTTCTCTGCTCTGACTGATTGGCCAGCTGATTAACATGCTGGTTGCAATCCAGGATGCAAACATGCAGAGTGAGGCATGGTATAGTTCCTGCACTGTAGAATGACAAAGAAATACAAAACAAAATCAAAACAAAACAAAGCAGTGAAAGCACAAATACTGAATCCAGGCAACACTGTTCAAGGAAGAGGGTTGAGACTGAGGGAGAGGAGGCTAGAGGGGCAGTAAGAGAAGCTCATTAAGCAAGTCTAGCCTTCCTCTACTCAGTGTGGGCTTGGCTCCAGTGATCATTAGCGTGAAGGGGAACTCAATGAGGAGCTAAGACTGAAGGCTTAAGCATGTCTACAAAATCAGCCCTATAATGCTAATCAAAAACAGCACACCAGAGAAATACAAATGTTATGTGTAATAAAGTCATAAATCAAGCTTTTAGGCCGAAGTCTCTCACCACAAGCTATTTTTACTACACTCCCTAAAGTGTGATGATTTCAGAACCTCACTACTCTGTGGTTTACGTAGACCCCAGAGTCCCCTGAGTGAAGTTGCCCACTCAAATACGCACTATCACAGACAAAAACCCAGTTGCATCTCACCCACATATGTAGAAGCATGCGCATAGATATGACACACAGCCCCATTTCTACAGCAACAGAGGTAGGCTCACACATGTACCAAAACACACAGACAGAGGCAAGCATGCTCATACAGGCGGCAGCGGCTCCATGCTAAATACTGTGTACAGTGTTTGCTAGCAGGCAAACGAGTCAGAGTCCTATTCTTAGCAGTGAATTAGGTAAAAAGCCAGAAGTGTCTTTTACATGGAGGTGTAATCTGGAGCATGAGACGTGGATTATGAAATCAAAGCAAGATTGGCTCAGGTGTCTCTGACAATCCCAGCCAGTGTTCGGCACAATCCCTGCATGCATGACTGAACAGACAGAGAGGGAGAGGGAGCGAGGCAGATAAAAGGAAGGGAAAAACAGTCCACTATTCATCAGCAAACACACTTCCAACAATCCCCTATTTTCCTTCATCATTATCCTCCAGTGCCAGAGTCTCGTACCATATACACTAGTCTTTAGCGTGGCCTCAGAACACAACCTTTGGGGGTGGGGGTGGGGGGGAATAAAGGTCTGGGTCTATATGAGAAAGGTACAAAATAAAGAAAGAAAGTAGGACAATCTTGTGAGAAATGTCCAACAGAAGGGAGGAAGAGAAAATAGATTCTTGCTTGTTCAGTAGTTGTCTTGCCAGTGTTTCCCATTGGCCTAGCTGAGAAGGCGGGAATGAGGGAGAGAGACTGGAATAGAAAGGGAGAGAGAGAAAAACAGAGAGGGAATTCCTGTGGCTTGGCACACTGCACCGAAAGAGGCGTGGCCTGCCGTGTGTTTACAGTGTAAGACAGTGAGAAACAAGCTCTCTCCAAGGATTTAGGGCCTCAGACCTGCTGCTTTTCCCACTTTGTCTTCTGTTCACTTTACCAACGCAACAGTTTTGTCACAATCGAGTGAACAAAGAGAGACAAATTTAAAATTTCTTTCATAAGCTCTTGGAATCACACAGTAGATATGTTGTGAGCTACTTTAATGCTTTCTGCTAGTTGCTGTTCTGAGTTATTTGACTGGAGGTATTTGATGGCAGGAGTCCAACCTCTCAACTGTCAGCTCTTTACATTAGGGCCTCATTATACAGTCACTTGTTGGAGAAGATTGGTGCTGTGGCAAGTGCTTGTTTGTAGCAGACATAGGAAAAGGGGTCATCTTTCTCCACACTTACATCTGTGAATCTGTCTGCTACAAAAACATAAGAAATTGCAAGTTTCTTATAGAAACAGCCCCTCACTGTCACTGACACGCTCGTCAAAACAAGCACCATCTGCAATACACTCTACATACATGTATACACACGTTACAAAACACACCAACATATGCTCACTCAGACTTGTGAGCCTCTGTCTCGCTCTCACACACATATATACAAACTCCTCTTTTCTATGACCACCCTGTTCACATTAAACAGTTTTTTTAAAATAATGCTTGCAGCAAATGAATAAGCGACTCTTGTAGGCTTTTTAAAAGTACTCCTGAGAGTTGCAACCACTGGGCCCCAGTGGATGAGAGCTTAAGGTTAAAAAGCCTATTTAAATTTCAGAGTGAGCAGCACACTCACAGCTAACAGCTACAGTAGCAGTCCCTGTAGCTTTGCTCTGTGATGTACAAGTGTTTCCAAGCTTTTATACATATTAAAAAAAGAACTACAAAGAGCAGACGGAGGCAGCAGCAGGGGTGGGCACCTGTAGTGTGGCAGCATATTGTGGTCACAGAATGAGAAACAACTCTGGCCGTCAAACTCCGGTACAGGTGCGAATACAGTGTGGAGTATCCTATTACAAGTGCGTGCAGGACTGCATAAGGTCTATCAGGTTTCAAAGTGCCAAGTATCAGTATGAGCATCATATTTCTATGCTGAAGATAACAAGAGCTTGCTGCCTGTTGTAGAGGAAAAGGGTGCTGCAGTGCAGATAGTTGTGTATTTTGGAGTGGGTTGCATTGCAGAGAGGCTTTAGGCATATGAGCATGTGCATGTGTGTACATGTCTTTCTGTGGTTGTGTGGACAAATTTTAGTTCAATACCATTGCTGTGAGGAACTTTTGGCCAGTCCTCACAATTTCAAATGACCAGTTGAGGTTTGAGCTTTGGTTTAAGGTTAGAATGAGGTTTAGATTTTAGATTAAAGCTGCATTAGCTAACTTCACTGCAGTGACAATGCCAAAAAAAAGAGGTTTACATTTTACTGATATGCATATGTATGTTTAATGCTTGCAGCAGATGCCTGTGCAGTAATGCAAGAATATTATACAGAGGAATGTTTTACCCAGTAATACTGATACAGTGCTATGTGATCGCATTTGATTCAATATTACATACTTGACACACCTAAACTGTGAGTTGCATGTGAAACAAGAGAAATTTCATGTTATGCTTTGATAGTTGCACAAGCTCCCCACTCTAGTTGTGTTGAGGGCGTAAATTTTAATAACTTCTTATTAAAATGCTACATAGACTGCAGTGTTATGTCTGACATAAACTAGACCAAAAATTTGCTAAGTTACTTGATTTGCTAATCCAGGAAAACACGAGTACTTACTGCAGCAGACCATACCAGCATAATGTTAGTTAAAAGTAAGCTTGTAGCTCAGTTCTGTGAGTAAAGACACCATTAGACAGGAACACACAGCAGTTTGAGAGCTCCAGATGAATTTGGGGAAGCCACTGCAGTAACTATGCGGCCAGAAGCCTCAAAGCGTGCAGCTGCTCAGGGGAGAGGGCTGTCCTCTCCTCATGGATCTCAGAGTATTTTTTTCAGTACAAATGCTTCAGTATCAGTGTTTGCTTATGCAGTTAGTTTTGTTTTTGATGCCAAGGTTTATTTTTCAGTGCCAAAGACTGAAGTCACTGATCTGGCTCCATAAAGTAGAAAACTGAAACGCTAACATTAGCTTGCTAATGAACCAGACGTATACACGATAACCACCTACAGCACTTGCACGTCTAGCAGAAAGAAAGACACATTTGCATCAAAGTTTAGTCCTTTGGATGCTTTTAATTCTCTCCATCTCCAACATGCCAAACAGATGTTAAACCTGGCTTTGCCTTGTTCTTTCTCACACCCTTTGTGTGCTACAGAACATGGCCTCTTGGGTCTAACAGGTACACTCCCATCATAGGTTGTATCTGCACAGGGAATCTCCACAGTCTGTCTTTGAAATGAGCCATAGTGGTTTGAAAAATGCATCTTATAACCTCGGCTCAGCGGGGGTGTGGAAGAGGTGCAGATTTTAACAACATTGGCCACAGAGGGCAAGAAATAAACACAAGGCCTGAAGCACGGAGACAACACTTCTAGGTGATTATTTACTTGATTTATCCAAATTTGTGCAAAATCTTAGTTAATGCAAGTTTAAGGTTAGGTTCAGGGTTAGGGTTTTAGGCTTTTAGTTGTGTAAGGGTAAGGAGCTAGAGAATACATTATGTCAATGAATGTCCTCACAACTGTAGAAAGACAAACGGGTGTCTGTATTTCCCCTCCATTAAAGTGCTCCTGTCTCTGTGGGGAATAGTGCTGTAGGTGGTTGGAGAAGTGGGTGGGGTCAGGGTGCAGCCATGTAGCCAGGTGTGTGTTGGAGCTGGAGGCTGGATGTAGTACCTTGTTAGTCACAGTGTTGATTGCCAGCGTTGGAGAGGCACTTCCAGAGATCATACACTCCATCCCCAAAGACTCAGACTCCAGGCTGTATGGCGTAGAAGCCTGTGGGGGTTGGGGGCAGGGTGTGGAGGCAGAAAAAATAAAATGCAACATTATCCAATTACAAAACAGGCAAAATCCCACTGCAGGTTGCATGGAAAGACCTGTATTATGTTTGTGACAAATCCTCTGCTTGACCAGATATATATCCATCTGCAAGAACCATAAAACACACCAGAGCTATTGTCACATGACAGAGAAACACCTTTATTTAGGTCACATTTGAACTAAGCCTTCTGAGGAGATGGAGACAGACCCCATCCTCACCCTCACATACATATACACTGACACACGCATGCCCTCGTCTTGCGGTATATCTCACAGAGCTATAACTCTGCTGTGCCTGTCTCACCAAACTGCTTACTGTAAGAGGATTGGCTGCCAACAAAACCATTTTAATTCATGATAAACATAAACGAGATTTCACATACTCTCCATTTCAGTGTGTGACAATCTCAATGGAATGCTATACAGGCAGACAGTGACTAGAGGAGGAAGACTGAGCAGGGTGCATGTGTCCTACAGAAAATACACTCTTCACTTGGTGTGTTTTAGGTCATGCTCCAATGAATACAAGGAGAGCTGGAGTTGAAACTGTCGGCAGAGCTGCATATTAAAAAAATGTGTATTTCTCCTTTAAGCCGTCTTTTCTCACATATAAAATCGCATACCAGCAAAGTGAAGCAGGTTGGTGGATGAGCGTGACAGTATTTCAATGCTGTTGGACTGCTACATGAGCATCATGTAAAGTTTAATGTCATCTCTGTGCTTGTGTGTGTTTTGAGACAATGGCATGTGTGCACATGAGTGTGCCTGCACAGCATAGCCTCTGGTCAGTCACAGCATGGGGGAAGGAGGAGACAAGATCTCATTGAGTCAGGATGCCCCCAGGGCCAGGTCAATCTGCGCAGCTTGCTAAAACCTGAACAGTTGTACATAAGGCTGGACAAAACTCATTCATAATTAAAGCCAAAAGCTCCCACTCAGAATAGCTGGTGTGTACAACTCTGCATTAATTGATGTTTGTTTAAAAAAAGAAAGCGAGTACAGAATATAATGTAAGTAATGGCAGCCTGGGGCATAGTTTATTAATAAGGAGCCCATTTCATGACAGGCTAGCGATGCAGCATGGAGCGGCACTTACATAAAGGCTGGATATGAACTCCTACTGAGTCTGTGCATGTGTGTTTGCATGTCTGTGTCTGTATCTGGTAGAGAAGGAATGGGAGAAAGTGGGAGAAAGGAGGGAGGGCAAAAGCAAAAGAAAAGTGAAGCAGAAGTAGAGAGTCAGAGGCACAGGAAATTACTGAACCAAGTAGAGATAGAGGCAGAAGCTTTAGCAGAAGAACAGCATATGGAGAAAAATATGTTTTCTTTGGAATAAGCAGAGCTTCTCTCATCAGACTCACCCGCTCTCCAGACCGTGGCCTCTTCTTTGGCCGTGTAGGCAAGGTGTCTTCCTTTGGATTGGTGTCGATGGCCCAGTAAGAGCCCTGCAAACAGAGGAAAGACCTGTGAGCTGATTAAAATACACCAGATTGCTTCCTCACCTGACATCCCTGGGATATCTGCACTGGACTGAGACATTTCCTCTCTAGTATGGCATATGATCACAGCTTTCCTTGGCACTACTATTTACCTGCTTCAGTACATTATGTAAAACTCAAAGGCCTTATCTGACCTGCTCAAGTCTGTCCCATCAGCCAAGGCCTTTATTTGAGTTGATAGCTGTGAGTTTGAGCAGCGTGTGGGTGGGCTGTTGGTAAGAAAGGCTTGGCTTTTCCTCCACCGCAACTGCTCCTCAATGAGAGGCTGGTGAGGGCAGCTGGTAGTAGTGAAATGCTAAGCCATTCCTGAAGCTGTACTTCCTCAGCCTCAGGTACTGAGTCAGAGGACTGCTGCCGAGAATGAAGGCGCCACAGTCTCTGCCCGAAAACCGAGGGAACACTAGCTCTGCCTTGTTGCTTTCTTCGAGCAAGGATAATCAAGGAGAGAACAGCTGGGACTAGCTCTGAGGCTGCAGCTAGAAATTCCACAACCAGGCTGCATTATTTATCTTTGCATTCAGCCCCATTTAATTTATTTTTCAATGGTGTTCCTCCTCAAAGCCAAAAGGAGAAGAGCTTACAGCTGTTAAAAATGAGATTTTTACCCTAAGGCCCTGCAAGTTCTGAGTTTATTTTTAATATTTCATATGACCCTTGATAAAATCTCAATTGTCAAGAGAAAGTGAGATCAGGGCCTTTAAAATTACTTCCTTAGCAGAAAGAATAATTGATATTTCCATAACAAATTCTCTGAACACCAGGAGAGGCTATAGAACAAGCTGTATCTCAAGTATCTATACAATAACTGCTGCATACACAATGGCCTGCTCTTTTTAAAGCCAGCAAATCTGTTATTTTCACAGCTCACGTACACCACTGCTGTAACTGTTAAATGAAACGTCAGGGTGGGCCTATATTCATCAGGGGATTAAAATGATAAGTTTTAATATGTGTAAGCTTTTGGGGTCAAGTAACATTTTGTTCTGAGGGAAGAAAAATTCACAGCACAATCGGGCAGAGATGAAGAAACATCTCATATCAATGTAGAGAATGGTAAAACATAGCAGAAACCTCTTTACACTTCCCATGTTCTGCATAAAAGCTTCGCTGAAGAACAGTATGAAACGATGAGAGAAGTGATCTCTACATGTGATTAAATGCAGAGGTGCAGAAGGAGCTACAGATATAAAGAGTTATTAAATTATTAACAAATACACTGCAATATACTGTGGCTATGCCTAGCAAAGTGTGCCCATGGAGTCAGGGGCAACAACATAGCAATGCCACAATAACCTTTATAGTAATAAAACCGAGGCCGTTGTAAAGATAAAAAAACCAACAAATCCTGATAACAGATGCACTCTACCTGTTCTCTTCCAGTAAATGACGCAGCTTATTTTCATACATCAACATAAATGATGTAATCTAGTTCCCCTTTTGTGTGTAAATATAGGAAGAACAAACAAAAAGTATGCAGGTTTTCCAGGCAACTTCAGGCCGAGACACAAGTCAAATTTAAAAAAAAAAAAAGATTTTTAACAGTCGTCTTCCCAGGATGCATTTCTACCTCTGAGGCAGATATGGTGTGTATATGTACAATACCAGCTGTCATCTCTTACACCATCTCAGAGAGAGAGAGAGACAGAGCGACATGACTCCTATCTCATCCAACCAGCAGTTCTCATATTCCTGCCACATTACAATATTGATGCAACATATCAAGAGCGGCTAGCGCCTCTTTGAAGTTGTCTTCGGGGGGGTGAGGAAAATTCCAAATTAAACATTAAGGATGCAAGCATGTTGGCCCTGCATTTGGAATGGGATCCATACAGCAATAGATTATTTTGTATTTAGTGGAGCAGCTCCCAGGAGTGTCAATATCAGAGGATTACAGCAAAACATGAAATTAGCATTCAGTCTCCATCCTCTACACAGCTAGGCATAGCTCTTCATGCATGTTTTGGTGTATGTGCATGTGTGTACTGTAATTATTTGTGCAGGTCCCTGAGCATATGTAGCATATGCTCCAACAGTGCTGGGATGAAATCTGGGTTAGGATTCATACATTTAGACCTATGAATACCATCAAATTAAACAGAGCCCCAGAGGCTTTCTTCATGAACTACCCAGTGAATCAGGTTGATGTTGCTAGTGAATTAAGTAAACTGAGCTGAGAAAGAACTATAGGTGGTCCTACTGAGATTCAAATGTCAAATTAACATGTTGGACTATATATCCTTTTACAGAAGAAAAATGGGAGACAGAGAGCTGCTCAGAAAGCAAATGAGCTCTGACTTTTTCACCTTGAGTAAATACTTCAGGGATGCCATATTCTGGACTTCTATCCTGTTACAGCTCCATCTCTACCAGTGTTTGACTCCCCCTATGTCTGCTCTCTGTGCTGGTCCAAATCACTAGTCTTGCCTTACATTTGAAATGCAACACTGTGTGGGTTGGAGGTTCATAATAGATTAACAGCATACCATGCATTTGCAGTCTGTCAGAGTCCTGGAAGCCATTCAAAGGTAACATTTTTCTACCAGAGATAGCATGATACACACCAAAAAAAATGCTCTAAATGTGAATTCTGCTAGCAGCGGGTGCTTACTCTAAACTCAACATGTTCTTTTATTTGTATTTTGTTTTCAGTGATATGCATTCTTCTGTGTTTGTAAGCAAATTAAGAGTCTCACCTTTCCTGGGTCATCCTTGGAGCGAGGCACTTTGAGAAAACACTTGTTCAATGACAGATTGTGCCGTATTGAGTTCTGTGGGAGAAAACAGAGTGAGAGAGAGAAAGGTGGTGAGTGAACACCAATCAAAAACTACAAACAAGTCTGTCATACTTAAGTGTGGAGAACATCCGCCACCTGCAGCAACACTGGCACACAACTTGTTGGCATATATCATTTAGGTTTAGTCACAGCTCTTGTCATCAAGGTCAGCTTGTTTCAATGGCATCAGATCTGGCTTACAACTGTGTGCAGATTTCACTGTACACACATATACACATATAGGAGCTCAGTGTGTGTACAAAGCTAACAGGAAGTCATATCTTTCATCAGTGTCCAACAAACTGCATTCTGGTTGCACAACATATCGAATTCCACTGATGCCAAAAATAGGAGCCAGAAGGAATCCCACACTGGGATGGCTGCTGATACCGAGGCCTGATAGTAATTAATGCTTCAGCGGGCTCCTGTGGGGGCAGGAAATAAATTATGTAGATCATTCTGAAAGTTAACTCATTATAGTGTTACAGGCTACTCCACGGCAGTGAAGAGGGAGGTACATACAGCTGTCTGATTGGGGGACGCATGGTGGATTGAAGTAGCCACAAGGGCTGGAGAGCGACGCTCCAGGTCTGGGTTAAGCAGCCACTGCAAAGCCCTCAGAACCAGCTGGAGAAAGGCCAGCTGAGGGCTTACAAGAGCCAGTGGAAGCACATATTTCTCCACTCCACTTTATGGAGTGGTACTGACAGATGGCCACACTAAAAAGCTGTAGGATTCTCTGATGAGCTTAACGGATGCATAAGATAAGTAGAGAGGGGCAGTGAGAGAGGGAGAGAGACCCCCAAGTGCAAAAGATAGGAGCTGCTTGTTCAACACTATAGGCAATTATACAACAGGGCAGATGATAATGACCTTCTCATTTTACTGCTGTCAATCTTGCTCATTAAATCACTAAATCATGAAATGCCAATGTAATAAAAAAAGTCTAACACCCTTCTCCGAGGGGGAAACTACTGCCACTGTCAAAACCAAAAAGGATTTTTTTTTTTTTTAAAGTGAAACTTAACCCAAAATCTATCTTTTCTAGTATCTAACATAAACCTGTGTAGCTTTAAAAAAAAAAAAGGGTCCGGAAAAAACCTTTTTTCACACTAAACGGTGACATACAATTCTATCATTTACCCATCTAATTTCTTAACATATACAGTGTATACAGAGAAAGTTCCAATTGAAATATTTTATGTCATCTCAGTCCTTTTCTTATCATGGCTGGATGCATTTATAATAAGTTGCTTTGGACAAACATGCCTGTATAAATAAGTCTGGCAAACCACGTACAGTAAAATCTTCTAACACACCTGAATCCACTGCTCTGCTGTGCTTCTGTATGCTCAACATGTTCTGTCATTGTTTCACCAAAATATCCCATCTTATTTTGCAATATACTGAGCATGAGAATGGACAACTGAGAACTGGATTATGATGCAGGATATTATGACACTTTATCTTGCTAACAATGTAATCCAGTATAACTGGCTGATATTCAATCTTAACCACCTGAAGTTATTGCTGATGACATCGCATGTCAAGACCACAGAGCCAAGCGTTTCTCAAAAGATTTTGGGTAGGGTATCACTCAAATACCTAAGCTGAGGAATGTGAATCCATACAAAGACAACAGCACAGCATACAACAGATAAGGTAATAAAAGAGACAGGGTAAATCCCAATTCCCTTTTTTTTTTAATCGTTCCTCGCTCCTTGATCCTCGCTCTACCTGGAAGTTGTTCTGCTCCGCCATTTTGAAGGACATCCCAACGCTCTTATTCCTACTTTCAAGAATGAGCAGAATGCCCAGAATAGTCATGAGCAATTATGCAAGACAGCATCCTTTCCAGAAGTCTTTTATGGTTTGACACACCCCTTAGCTGGTGACTGAATGTTTTACATGAAGGTTTGAAGGAAGGGACACCTTGTGTCTCTTGAGCACGTTTCCTTGTATCCTCTCTCCTTGCATCTTCTCCTCACATCTTACATGAGTGGGACTGAGATAAGAAAAATATGTGAGGGAAACATCGATGCAATTAAGGGAATTTACCTATAGACTCTCGCAAGTTATAAACGGTACCAGGAGACTGTCTACATCTACACACAAGCACTCCGCCCCTTACCTCGTCACAGTCTGACAACAGTTAAGATGAATAATGCAATGTGAACGCAAACTGTGATCATGCATAGTAGATGGTGACAAAACAGATATGCCACTCTCAATTTAGCCATCTTATGCCACTTTAAAACTCTGAGACATGTCCAACAGGTGAGTGTCTGAACAACAGGGTGTGTGAGGCAATCTGTGTAATGCCATACACACTTAAGTATTTAAAACCATTTTCGCTTCACAGCCTCTGTGTGTGTCTGTGCCACTTGATGCCAGGCAGAGAGAAGCAGCTGAACCTGCATAGAGAAGTGGCTTTATCCATTAAGGACCTTCTTTAGGGCCTAAATCACTGATACAGTCAAGCAGCAAGGCTTGGTGCTACATCAGAAGTTTACTTTTTAATGAACTCTGCTTGCGCTCTTCTCCTCCTGACAGGTTCTGTGTCTGCGCCAACCACATTGTGTCAAACAAACTCTTTAGACACATTTTTCAGTGTGAAACAAACACGCTGTGGGTCACTGGTAGGCAAAGAGATGATCCAGAACAAAATGAGGGATGTTAAAATATTACAGCAGCAGCAGATGAAGAAAAGGAAATCGGGATGACAGCAACATTCACTGTATTTAATAGATCACTGTGTATTTGCTGAGTAGGAGAGAAAGGGGAGAGCAAGACAACGGTGTGATGAAAAATTAAGGCCAATTACTGCTGAATATATAAACAATGTGCCACCATTTAAGCAGCAGCTCCCTTAAATGTACCATCTAGTCTGTTTGAGTACAAAGTATTTGCTTTAAGACAGTAGGCTATAAGTTGGTACAAGTGGATCTACACTACAGTAGAGGGGGGAAGTGAAATAGGTAGAGGAGGTCAGAGGGTGTGAACAGAGGTACACAAAGTGAGTCAGACAGAGCTCACTGTAGGGGTCCAGCCCAAGTGCTGCCCAGCATCTACCTGCCACCCCCCCAGAGCACTTCACATCCAGCCTCAGCACTAGATTCTGTGTGTGTGTGTGGGGGGGCGACATACCTAAAACACACACAAAAAAGAACATGTCTTCTAACAAATGGCAGTGATTTAACGCACCAGGACAGCAGTGGAGACGTAAGCAGCTCCGCCCTCGCTGCCCCCCTGCCGAGGAGCGCTGCAGCTCAGCAGAAGGGCCGCCAGGGGAAAGTAGGTCAGGCTGACCTCGGCACTCAGAGTTTCAAACGTTCAGAGTGAGCTAAAGGGACAGGCCATGTCAGAGCCCTGTGCTTCACAGCTGGAGAGAACAATGCACCCTGTGCATACTCGGCATGCTGGGAGAGACGCATGTACCCACACATACCAGTTATGGCATAGGGATGAACACCAGCAACCAAGAGAGAGGAAGAGTTACTGTGGTTCAATGTGAAAAAATATCAATGTCCCCAACAGGATCCTGGCCTTCCCACATTCACACCATCATCCTGCAACTTTATCGATCAAGACAGTTTTAGAAAAATAAAAATAAAGGGGCTCTAACCAACCAACACTTTACTCACTCTTTTAACTCACACAATTAATGAAAAGAAACAGAAGTCCAGCTGTGAGTTTACTTAACGCATTCCTGAAACCAAGCAAGTGTCTGCAATAACCTAGAGGTGCTCTGAAAGCGTTAAGATTAAGCTCCAAACAAAGGGGAATTTAAATGCTACTGGATTTGCTGCCTTTGTGATCAGTGTTCTCCCTAACACTGCAATGTGTGGGGAAAATGGGTGGTGGTGAACAGTGTCAGGAACCAGTGCTTAAACATCGCAGAGACCTCCACAATAGCAACTACTCATGAAGGCAAAAACTACAAGGGGAAAAAAATTCCTGAGCCCAATTTCCATTTCCATTAAAGAGCAGGTCTGGGCAAAAAGCTAGAGGATGCCCAGCTTCAAGCTCATGGTAACTCAACATTAGTTTGGGTGACATTGTGTACCCATTCTCAGTACCCCTCTCCTTTTAGGTTTATCTGATTTTGCATGAAATTAACATCTTTTCAAATTCTGATTCTGATTCTGAATTAACAATGAAACAGATGACAGAATGTATCAGGGGCCTTTTAGAGTGGAAATAAAATGTAGAATATTATAATGCCTGTGTTGCCACATCAAATATCTTGTATGGAGTATTTCTACAAAAGAGAGAATCACAGATCAAATGATCCAAAACAAACATTCTTGCAAGTACCATCACTTGAGGAAAGGACCTCAACCTCTAACTGACCGGACAGCAAGTCTGAACTGTGGAAGGATATAAATGACTTGAGCCACTGCTGAGATAGATACTTCAAAACTGTGTTTAAAAAAAAACTATAGAAATAAGATCTCCTGAATAAACAAGTGTAGAGAGGAAAGAAATGAAGTAGTCACCGAGTGGGTAAGTGAATGAAACGAGACAAATGGAAAGGAAAGGCAGAGCTCAGGGCTGCGTACACTCAGTAAATTATTAGCTACCACTAGCTAAAATTCATTTGGTGTAATACAAAGGTCCTGCAATATAACATGTTGGAACAGAACTAACTCTTAAGGGTGGCCAATGTCACAGATGACAGCAATGATACAGCACAATTTAACAACGTCATACAAGGGAGGAGGTCTGTCTAACATCAGAAAGCACTTCCTGCTTCCTTGCTATGAGCTTGCAGCATTTCTGATGGCCCCACTCATAGTGCTATAATATAGATTTGTCTTGATTTGACTTTTTAGCAATAAAAACAAAAGGTCTGGCTGCATAAGTGACTTAGAGGAGCCTCAATGTATTCATTTTATTCAATAAAGAATTAGCAAAGAATAACACTTTCACATAAAAACAAATTTATATAACTTGATCAACATTAATAATTGATCAGCAAATATTTTAATAATAACTGGTTAATTTTTTCAGTTACTTTTCAACCAACAAAATGCCAAACATCCCTTGGTTCCAGCTTCTCAAGCATGATTTGTTCTTTTCTTTGGTCATATGTTAGTAAACTGAATATCTTTGAATTCAAAACCGCTGCTTGGTGAGAAGTGAGTGCGGCAAGCAAAGCCACAATAAAGGCAGAGGGAAGTGAACCAGCAGAAATACAGTAACACACACAGAGATAGATTACTGTATTTTTAGGCCTTTGTTATTTCATATGGACCCTGTGACATGCCCACCAACATAACATACTCCTCAGCCTCGGGGATCTGCACCAAGGCCACGGAATGTAGCACCTTCGCTGTCTATTTGTAGTGGGTGTGGGAAGGCATGTGGGATGCCATAGCATTTGCTCAGAGAGGCACTGCTTAAGAAAAAAAAACTGTTTGGACACACATACACAGGTAGAGAAAGGTAGGTTTGTCTAGGTGCTATCATCAGATGATTTAATCCTGTTAGCTGTGAGGAGTGCTGTGACCCTAAGGCCATCAGAACCAGGCTCTTATGACTGACTGGGTGATAACCTGCTGTGTGATGAAAGGAGGAGGGTCAGGGTGCTCTATGCTTCAATTTCGACATTTTTAACACCACTGTCACCTTCCGTTTTACCACACATGATCACAACAAGCACACATTACACATTAGTTTAAAAAGCTTCAAGAGTGATTGTACACTATGTTCTGCTGGGCTTCAATGACAAAAATAATTACATTAAGCACCTATTAAAGGCACATTTAATTCTATTAGCTCTACTTAAGCCTTATCGACTACAGCGACCCCTCCCCCACCAAACGATCAGACTCAAGAAGTCTGCCAAAACACGCCGCCTAACACACCACAAAATTCTCCTGCATCTAGCACAGCTACTGAAACCCAAAGCCCAATGAAGTCAACTATAATGATTTTCAACTTTTCTTTTTTTTTTAACCATCTTCAAAGGCATTTGATCTGCCTCCCTTGGCATCCAGTAGTAATGTGTTGGCATGCTAGACTTTAAACCCCTTAGTCTCTGATCTTTACTCACTTGTATGTAGTTTTAATAAAACATGAACAGTTAGCTTGCCTGCTGCAGAAGAACACACACTCAGGCCAAACAGTCATAAATATAATAACGCGTTACTGTGTTCGTGTCTATGTCCATAATCTAAAGACAAAAGAAAAAAGGCAAACCAGAAACTCACAATGATCGCTAACTGTTGCTATCTAGACCCAGGTCGTCTGGTGTAGCATATTGAGGTATTATAGTAATTAAAACTCAACAACTACTTCTGCA